ACACCACCATCCATGTCTGCTGGCTCCTGTTCAGGAGGCCCACCCAGTCTAAAACAGGATGAGGAGCAAGGAGCCTGTGCTGAGCAAGGAGCCCTTTGTGTGCCCACAATGAGGGATTCTCCAGAGAGGAGATTTCACAAGAGGCCAGCTCACACTTTGCTTCACTTTCCTTGATCTTAAGCCATTTTTTCTTTGCATTTTGACATGTCTGAGAGCAAAATGTGTCTTACAATCAATGTGTACATTTACCATAGTGTTTTGTTTTCTTTTCTCAAAAACACTATTACTAAATCAATGTTGCATCTTGTAACTGCTGGCATCTTAGGACTGAAGAAGTGCAGTAGTGTGTGGGAGTGATGCTGAGAGGTCCAGCTTTGCTAGGTAGAAGGGCCTGAGTGGAAATCAGAGCTTCCTCCCAAGGGAGACTACTGTGGACCCACAGAATCAACTGGATCTTACAGATCTCTGTGCACCTCAGAGCACTAGCCATCAGCATGCTTGCAGCCAGCCCTGGTCAGAACTCAGGGTGCAATGAAAAGGAGAGCTAAGCTGGTATATGGTCAAGTACAACCCTGCTAGCTAAACACCGGCAGGAGAAACCCTGGAGGCCAAGAGAGTCAGGAGTAGTGGGATGAGAGGGGAGTGCCCAAGAAAGCTTCCTGAAGGCAAGGCACAAAGGCACTGGAAGCAGAGGGGCAAAGGCCCAGCCACTGTGAGAGGGAGCAGGAAGTTGTGCCATCAGGCTGCAGGGCAGGTGGACACAGGGAGCCCCCTCCTGTGGAGATTGTGCTGGGCTGGGATGCATCTCTCTGGAATTGGATACTTGGAGACACTTCAGCCTCTTTAAGAAGAGACATGACTACATTTAAATTTTAGAATCCTATGGTGCAACATGGTAGCCACTAGCCACAGGCAGCTCTGTAAATTAATTAAATCACTTCTTTAAAAAAAAAAGTCCATAAGAACACCTGAAAAACATTTAAAAACTCAGCTTCTCAGTCACACCAGTCATACTGTGAGTGTTTGACAGCCACATGGGGCTCATTGGCCATATGAGCAGTAGAGATCCAGAGCATGTGTATGGGGACAGAAGTTTGATTGTGGACAGGCTAATATAGAAGGGTCATCTGAGGAAGGGCAGGTGGATGAGTGGGACAACATAGACACAGCAATGAGCATACCGCGTGCCCGGCACCGTTTTAAGTGCTCCACGCATGTTAGTTCCTGGTACTCTCACAGAATTCCATGGTCAAGAACAGGTCGGGCCGGGGATTTAGCTCAGTGGTTTTGCCGCCTCCTGTGCAAGCGCAAGGACCCGAGTTCGATCCCCGGTACCAAAAAAAGAAAAAAAAGAACAGGCCTACTGGGAAATGGGAGCCATGGCAGCAAAGACACCCCTGGGGCTTACTTTCTGGCTTTTTCCCAGCCTTTTTCTAGCTGAGCTCTGGCTTCTTCTGGAATCAGGGTTATGGCACTTATTTCTTGGAGAGGGGGAACTGAGGAGTGTTGAAGCCTCAGCTTTGCCAATAAGGTTGCCATCTCATCAGCCCATGCAGGGTAATAAGGAGCTCCCAGGGGGTCCCCTAAATTTCATGATACTCATGATGCAACCTTACCTGAAAGTCCTTCCAAGTGTCTAACTCAGCTTTCCAATTCATGACGACAATTGATGCCCATTTCTTGTGCTTATTTCTTCACTTCATAAAATGGAGACTATATTGTAATAATATTAATAACGGCTGGGTTTATTTGCAGCTTACCCTTTATATGCAGCTTACGCTTTACCAGGCACCACTCCAAGCACTTTACATACTAACTCATTTAATCCTTCTAAGAGCTCTCTGATGTAGCTACTATTATCTTTTCCATTTTACACAAAAAGTGAATGAGGAATGGAGAGGTTAGGTAACTTGCTTAGGGTCATACTGTATCCACACCAGGAGGTAGAGTCGCTAAGATTTGAACCCACATTAGCTATCCCTGGAGTTCAGTTCCCAGCCGTGGTACTATGCGGCCTCTCATTGTAAACCTTCTGGAAGGCAGCTGCTAAGTGTACTTTCTACCTGTTCTGGCTGGAGTGGCAGGAGAATTTGGTTCTATTCCAGAAAACCTTGGCTGAAGGTTATGCCCAGTCAAAACACAAATGCCTCACATTTGGAGGAAAGTTTATGTCATTTTGAGAGGACTTTTCTGCCAGGAGTAGTTATGGTAATAGTCATCCTACAGTTACACCATGTTTTCTGGTTTACAAAGCACCTCCATTTGTGTGTTCTCATTAAGCGCTCCATCATCCCTGAGAGGAAAGTGAGGTGGGCAGCATAGTTTATGGTATAAGACAAGGAGCCAGGAGAAGCAAAGGCGCCTCTCCAGATGCATCTCCATCCCCAATTCTGCTTCTCAGCCTCTCAGCCTTGTCAATGGGCTCCAAAGTCAGGCCTGTGTAGAGGCTCTAAGGCCATGACCCTGTATGCCAACCCTGGAGCATGCTGAGGCCAAGACACAATCCAGTGATCAGAAATTAATTCAGAATAACTCAAGATTCCTACTTATATTTCTCAGACATTATCAAGAGATAAAAAATCCACAGCAAAGCTTCTTAATATCTGCCTTTTCTCTATCCCTCTACTGTATTTACAGACATTAGTTCTGCTCTTATCTCTTTTAAAGTATTTATTTTCAATTTTTTCATATATACTTACGAGTATTTGCAACACAGGTGTGTAGTGTAAAAGACAATGCTAAGCTCTCATGGCCCCACCCGCTCACCTCAGAAACAGAGCATGGAACTGCCTCTAAAGCCCCATGAATGCCCCATCCCTTCTCCTGTCCCAGGAACCAGCCCTCCTAAGTCACTCTTACATTTCTTCAGAGTCCTAGACTGCTTTTCAACCCTGTTCCAGAGAAGCACTCTCCAGCTGGGGCTGTAGCTCAGTGGTAGAGCACTTGCTTAGTAAGCATGGGGCTCCCATCCCTGAAGGAAAACAAAACAAAACAAAACACTCCTTGTAGGTTATGTGATTCTTGTGCTTCTGTTTTGGCTCCTTGCCTACACTGGTCAGGTTGGCCTTGTGTCACCTATCCTAGAGGATAGGCCTCTTTTGCAGATAAAGGTGTGGAAGATTAGTGACACTCTGAAAGGTTAGGGACGTTCAGTACTTCTGGTCCAGCCTCACCGGAGTAGGAAGGAAGTGGGAGGAGCTGCCTGACTCCTGTTTAAACTCCGCTCCTTGTCACCTGGAGCAGTCCTTTCCCTATATTCCCTCTCTAAATCGAAGGACATGCACAGAACAAGGTTTGCTAAAGTCATTTCTCCTATAGATATTTGCTGAGAACTTACCATGTGCCAAGCAGGGTCACGGGTAGAGTGGATGATGTGGTCAGAAATGAGAGGATTCACTCACCTGGAGGAATTTAGTGCCTAGGGCAGATCTCCCCACCCTCATCCCATACATTCAACAGACTCTGGCCCTCCCTTTGCCATTATAATACACTCACATGAAGGGGATAGGGATAAAATTAAATGGTAATTGGAAAAGCTGAGACAGATCCTGGCTGGCATTATTTGTAGGACACACTACAGTTCCTGAAATGTAGTCCTCCAGGCAGAGGGTGGGTCTGGACTCTGGAGTTCAGGGTCCGCACACCTGTAGTTACCAGGATCTGCCACCAGATGTCAGTGATGTGCAGGAGGGGGTGGGGCACTTGGGCGACGAGTTTTTTGGCCAAGTTGTGGAAAGGACAAAGTAAGAGTTTTCTGTGTGCGAGGTGCTCTTCTAAGTATATTGTGCTTGTTTTGTCATTTGATGTAAACAGAGACCCTGTGGTTTACATATCCTTATCCCCATGTTACAGATGAGAAAACTGGTGCTGGGGGAGGGGGGTATACATACAGAAGGTGGCAGTCCCCCCCCCCCCATTTGTGAGCACCGCTAAACAGGCTGCAAACAACCCTGGTAAAAGGCATTGTTCTCTATGCTGCTGAAATGCTGTGAACAGCGTCTCCCCATATTTGGGGCAGCCAGTTGCTGCACAAATTCGTGAGAACCAAAAAGCTCTCTAATCGTTAAAACCCTCACGCATGCCAAAGAAGAGTGCAGTACAGGTGGTCATCAGGATGGTAGAAGGTGCAGGTTGACAGGAGCCAAGTGGCAGCAGCTAGGCTGTCGTCTGTGTTGTCTGGCAGGTGTGTTGGAAATAACAACAGCCATTGCCAACTCGAGCTTGATGTGAGGATTAGGAAAAGGTCTCTGGGGATCCAGCTTGACAGAGTGTATAGATGTACAGGGTGTCCTGTCCACCCTGCAGAGCTGAAGAGCAGTAGTCCAGATCCTCCCTCCCCAATCCCTAAGAAGCTCTGCTGAAAATGTAAGGTGAAATTGGGGGAGGATTGAAGATCAAATTCATAGGGGGAGAATCTGCATGATGTAGTTCCAATAATCATTCCAATCAATAAATTCAGTGATGATATCATTCACCTTGTTGGGGAGCAGGGATCTCTGGGAAGGGAAATGACAAAAGCAGAAAAGATGCCAAGTCTCTGAGCTCAGTTACCTTGAATTCACACCCTGGGGCATGTGATGAGATGCTCCACCAAAGCCAGCAGGGAGACCTTGCAAAGGGGAGAGGGGCAAAGGCACCGGCCCTAGACCCCATCTGAGGAAACCTCAGCAGGGTTTCCTTGCACAGAGCCCCCCACCCCAGGACACAGCAAGCTGAGACCCTGGGAATGGCTAAGGCATAGGGCTACTCAGACAGGAGGAGGAAGGAAGGCTCAGAGGCCCTGGCGGGGAGATCAGAGTGTTTCTTGGGGTGTTTCAGACACCTGTTAGTTACTAGGAGACAAGTTTCAGCTCAGCAGGAGAAATGCTGCCCTTTGACCAGATTAAACAGTTTGCAAAGCCATTTTTGCATGCATCATCTCATTGAATCCCATCATCACCCTGGAGGGGGATCGTTTTGTCTTTACTTTACAGATAATGAAAGCAAAAGTCAGAGCTCACCCATTTCTCCAAGTTCTAATGGTCAAATTAGAATGCAGGCCTTTCTAGCTGCAATACCACTCTTTTCAAGCCGAAATTGTCCAGAGATGGTGATGATGATGCTCACGGTGTTGATGGCTGTGAGGTAGGGTTTCTTACCCTGCTTTACAGATCGAAGTCTGAATCCCAACCAGGGCTAGCACTTACCCAACAAGCAGAGCTGGGCTTGAATGCAGACGTTAGTCCACAAGCCTGGTCTTCTCCCTGATTCTCTTCCTTATGGGAGTGAGCAAGCTCCTCTCACCAGAGGGGCAGGAGCAAGTCTGATGTCTTTCCAGCCAGCTTCCGGTAGTGAGTCCCCCGGAGGGCACAGTTGGGAGAAAGCAGCTAAGGCCTCTGCTTCCTACCTGCAAGTTCTCTGACTCATGCTGGGTGGAGGCCAGCACAGAGGCAGGTGCCTCGCTGGAAGCGAATTCCTGGGGACGGGGACGGATGAGCAGGGCTGGGGGAGGAGGCTGCCAGGATTCACAGACAGGGAGAAGGGTCTTGGGGGCAGAACTAGGTGTCTGGCTCAGAGGAGAGGGAAGCAGAAGAGATAAGCAGAGCTGAGAGTGATGCAGTCCAAGTGTCTGTGAAAGATGAGTCTCACCAAGCCCGAGAGTTGGGAGGGGGAGACACAGAGCAGGGAGTCATGGAGGCTTTTGGAGGCAGCAGAAACAGGGTCTTGGGCAGCCCAGACCAGAACGGCACACTGTCCTGGGGACATCTGATTCTGTGAGTTATGAATAATGGGTGTACCTTTCAGACTCTGCCTAGTCCTTTTCAGCCTTCATGAGTTATGGGATAAACAGTTCCCTTTCCCGCTTTGGGTTCAATCTTTATAGTTGATCTGGGGCTGCTGTCTTCTGATATTTATATGTTTCATTTGCTTGTGGTCAGTCTGTTGACTCCAATTTCCAACTCAGTTGGTATTAATTTATCAAGTCTTCTTACTTGTTTCACATTCTGATTTTAAGAGAAAATCAAATGTGAATGTAGGCCAAAAGGGGAGTCGGGGGTGAGAGATGCCACCCCCTGTACCTCCAAGGTCCCAAATGGTGTTGAGGCGGATTTGTATAGTTGCTGTTTTGTGCAGTTCTGGAAATGACACCAGGAATGTTGATTTGTCTATTTCCCAACTTAGGCTTTCTGTTTATTTCGGGAGAAATTCCTGTGGGAGAGGAGAAATTCCTTTGGCATATTTTGAAGAGGGCAAAAAGACAACCTGGCTTTTGTGTGGTGAGAATGTGGGAAATTTCAGCTTCCAAAGTCTGTACTGGAGGAAGTGAGCTGAACTTTGCAACTCAGTCACATCTCTTGGCCCAGAGCGGGAGTAGAGGGCTGGCTGGGCCGTGCTGTCTTGGAAGGTCAGCATGGGTGATTCATGCTAAGTGAGCAACTTGTCTCAAAACCAAAAGGGTGCAAAGGCCCTGGGTTCATCCTCAGTACCACAAAAAATAAAGGACAGGGGCAACTTTGGGTTTCTTCCTGAACCTCCAAGATTATAGGTTTCAGCAGTGAAGAAGAATCCCTGTGTCAGCCATACATACCCAAAGGAAAAAGAAAATAGCCCCAGGAAAGAAAAGCATAACAGGTGAGCCTTTTCTACATAGTTGGAGGAGACGAGAGAGAGAGAGAGAGAGAGAGAGAGAGAGAGAGAGAGAGAGTAGGTTACCCGACTCCACATCATCTGCACCCCTGACCAGCAGCCTGTCCTTTGCAAGTCAGCCCGCCCTGTTTCCTCATCCGTAAAATGGGGATCACAGAGCAGGGGTTGTGGTGAAGCCTGTATAAAATGATGAATACAATAACCACTCTTACTTTGCATTAACTAAATAAATATTAGTCATTACTATTATTAGATTTATCACTGAAATCTTATTAATCATACTCAGATTAATTGTGTGTGTGTGTGTGTGTATACACCCACACAAGAATTGGTCTTCCAAGAAAAGGGATTATAATGTGTGAGAAAGGAGCAGATTGTTCCCTTAGAGACTGGAACATCCTGGGAAATATTCTATAAGTTGCTGAGATTGTCTCCTCATTGCCAGAATATTCCAAGGAACAGAAGAAAAGGTAGCCAGTGGCCCAGCTGTTGGCTTTTACTGGGTCCACATGTTTGGCTGGGTTTCTCCTCTGGCATCTGAGCCTTGGGGTGGGGGAGCATCCCAAGGAATGGCTGTCCTGGGTGCCTTCCAGACAGCTGCTTTGCTGGAGGAGGTCTGAGGCTCACCAGGGGGTGGGAGAATTGGCGTTTTCTTGGGTTGGGTGGGCTCTGTGGGGGGGTGCTCCCTAAGGACCCAAGCTTATGGGTTGGCAGTCCATGCTGATGAGCTCCATCTGCAAGTCTTCCTCTCTAACAGAGACACCAGTCATTTCCCCAATGCTTTGTCAATGGCTCATCATCTCCTCCTTACGCCAACAGGAATTTATCATTCTGAGTCAATCCTTTGCTGGGCACCAGAGGAGGCTGGGCTGGGCTGTCATGTCAGTAAATATTTGCCTGTTGCTAACCCTGAAACAACATGGTGCCATCTTGAAACAACATGCCCATCTTGCAGAATAAGAAACAGAGACCCAAAAAGATTAATTCACTTGTGAAGAAAGTCACATAACTGGTAGAAAGACTCATCCAGGAGAGAGAGGTGAAAAGGGTAAGCCTGTTTTTGCCCTGGGGGAAGTCATTGTCTCCCACGTGATGAGGCAAAGGGATGTGAGTTTCCACTTTCCACAGTGAACCCACAATTGTCGAACCCGGGCTGACTCCAGAATCCATGCCTGTAGCCTGTACGGTGTGCATTGTGCCCTGATGTGAGCTGCCATCTGGGCAGACAAGTAAGAGTTGACAATCATATGGCACAAAATAGACTCTTGTTGACTTAACCCAGGCTGGCCCATTATTGGAGGCTAAGGTGCTGCAATGAAAGTGTAGAGGGGTTAGAGGCAAATGCAGCCAGGCTGAGCCCCAGCTCTGCTGTTTATTAGTTGCAGGTCATTAACCCCTGAGCTTCTGCAAATCAGATGAGAATACTTTTCCAGGTTTCTAAGAGAAATAGTGGTAACTGAATGACTGGCACTCGCTGGACAAGTGTCTGTAATTGACAAATACTACTACATTTGCTGATGACTGAGAATGTTACAGCTGCAGTGAGCACTGGGAAGTGCTTCCCTCCCAGCAGGAAGATCAGTTCAGCCACCTTAAGGGACTCAAGCTGGGAGAGGCCTGGCTCTCCTGGCAGGCTGCAGGCCTGCATATCAGCCCTGGCCCAGAGGCTGCTCTTGCTGTATAAACTTCCCAGAGCTGGATGCTGAAGTCTTCTCTCACTGCTCATTCAAGATCATGGAAGCACCTGAGCGGATGTCAAGGACTATACACTTGCTGTTAATGATACAGGTTGCTTTGTCATCATGGGTTAAGAACAGCTTGCAGCACAGGGAGTACTGCACTAGGTGACAGAGTGCAGAAAGCAGATGTATGAGTGACAGAATTGGGGCTGAACCCTGCCATGCTGCTGGGCATGTCACTTGCCCTCGTTGAACTTCCATTTCCTTATGTGAAAATGGGGATCCTGCCTCCCTGGATGGGCCTCCATGAGTATGAAGTCTGGCTCTGGTCTCCTGACTGAAGCCTGGACTCCATTTCCAAGAGCTGCCTGGCCTGGCCTCTTTACCCTACTTCTGCATCCCCTGTCAAGCAAGACCCCAAATGTCCAGGCTGCTTCTCAAGCTTGGTCATGGACCCATTTCCTGCAAGACACTGCTGATTCTAACCCTTCTTACAGGGCAGATGGAATAGATCTAGACTTGTTCCCTGTTTGGTCTCAGATCCTTTGACCCATCCATGCATGGATGTACAGTTTGGGACTGGTACAGGCACTGATCTGGGACAGCCTGGAGCCACACTGGCAGCCTCATAAATCAGGCCCCGCCTTTGAAGTTCCTGCAAGCTCCTTGGGAGAGCAGAACAGCCCAGTCTTCTTACAGCAGGAGTGCCTCCCCCAGTCTGGAGTCCAACGAATAGCTGGGCCTGATTTATAGAGGGGAGGCCTTGGAAATAATGAGTTTGCCTTATGACCTTCCTTCGAGCCTGGGGAAACAGAGCTGCCCTAAAGGCAGGACCATCTTGCTCTGGGCCTGTGTGGTCACCATCTCCCACCCCCAGCCCATACTAGAGTTTGGTTTGCCTGCTGAAAAGATTCATCTATTCCTTTCAGAAAGGACAGGAAGGAGGAAACACTTCCAAATCTGGCCACCTGGTAAAGACGCTTGGTAGATGGATCTGGGTCCATAGGCCAGCCTTACTGTTTCCTAAGTATGTGATCTTGGACAAGTCTTTTCCTACTCCTAAGCTTCACTGTCTTCACTGGACATGTGGAATTAAAAGATGGTGCTGGAATATAGCTGGTTGAAGGATAAAGGAATTAACAAACTTTGGCCATAGTGACTAGCATATTGTAGGGACTCAGGGAATGTTCTATCCCTCCTCCTTCCTCAAGCACAGGCTTCGGTCACTGTGCAGCTCTGTCAAGCAGGGATCCATGAATGATTCTCTGACTATCCCAAGCCACTAGACCAACACTGTCCTATGCAATTCTACTTTTATAGATACATCTATGCTTACACTGTCTACTACACTAGCTGCTGTCCACATGTGGCTATTGGACAATTGAAATGTGTCTAGTACAACAAAAGAGCTTTGTATTTAAAAATTTACATTTAACTAGCTATGGGTGACTGGTCACTACCATGGTGGACCACACAGGAGACCACAAAGAAGACTTGAAGACTCGGCCCTGCACTGGCCCTGGACAAGTTTCTTCACCCTTCTGCACTTTCAGTTTCTTCCTCTGTAACACAAAAGCTGTTGGTAGAAGAATGAGGCTAATGATGTGCCTCACTCAGAACACACTGCAATACATGTGGGCTCATTATGATTTCATGCTTATTGAGCTGATAGCAGTGGAGTCTGTAAGAGGAGAAGACATGAGGCCTGGCTTTGGGATGGGCGTCTGGGTGTACACAGGAGACCAGCACCTATGGTACTGGAGTGCAATTCCAACCCCTCCCCAGTGTTCTCTGACCTCCAAGCCATCCTCCCTCCATCTTGGGCCTTCTTCATTGTTCCTACATTGTCCAGTACTTCCTTTGCCCCAAGGGCTTTCCGCACAGGGCTGTAACTTTTCTGAACCAACATCTCTCCACACTTTTATGTTTTGGTGGCTTGACTCTTGGAGTTTATCATGAGGCAGCATCTGCTTAGAGGTTGCTACAGCCACCCAGGAGCGATGGTGGGCACGTAGGGCAGGAGCCACAGGATCAGGGGAATGGGAGAGGGAAAGTGGGCCTACTTCAAC